AAGCAGCAAAGCGGGAGAGTAAACAGCTCCTGTCTGGTTGTCTGCTTTAAAGCGAGTGTGCTCTCTTTCCCTTCCTCCTCCCCGCTCAGCTCGCTGAAAAGCAGCAAAGCTTCTCCACACACCCCACACATGCTCCTTGTCCCTTCAGTATTTTTCCTTCCCTCCCCACTTAAAACGTGGTTACAAAGCACAGATCCACAAGGATCCTCAGGATGTTTGCATTGGGTCACCCCAAGTTCACCATCAGATCACATAACATGTCCATGGCTACAGCCTGCACCAAAAAAATCATGCACCCACTGTTTTGTGGGGCCGCAATGGCACAAAAATGTGGTTACAAAGCACGGATCCACATGGATTCTCAGGATTTTTGCATTGGGCTACCCCAAACTCACTGTCAAATCACATGTCAAATCACATGTGGCCGCAGCATGAACCACAAAAATCATACATCCATTGTTTTGTCAGAATATTTTTTTTCTTGTTTTCCTCCTCTAAAAACTAGGTGTGTCTTATGGTCAGGTGTGTCTTATGGGGCAAAAAATACGGTAATTAGGTTAGGATTACCATACGCCCAGAATTCCCCAGATATAACCCTCATAAACAGCGTCTCGATGGAAATTGCTGAGATGTCCAGGAAAATGTGGACGTACGGCAGCCCATGTCGGCAGTGTACAGGTGAAACTCGAAAAATTAGAATATCATGGAAAAGTTCATTTATTTCAGTAATTCATCTTAAAAGGTGAAACTAATATATGAGATAGACTCATATATATAATCATCACAATTATAACAAATAAAGGCTTGACATATCTCGCTTTGCATGTCATGAGTCTATCTCATATATTAGTTTCACCTTTTAAGATGAATTACTGAATTCTCCACGATATTCTAATTTTGCGAGTTTCACCTGTAGATTTTCATTTAAAAAATAGCTTTTAAAAAACTCAACAACGTTTGAGTCCGGATCTTCACTTTTTGAAATATGCATTAGGTTATAGAATACACCTGCAAAGGAACAAATAAAAACCCCAGTCTGGAGGGGCCCTCAGGGTGCAAAACTAAACCCCCCATAAATCCACGCTTCTGGTGCAACTGGGATCTGGCACAGCTCACCTTAAGCTCATCGATCTTCTGCTTGTTCTTCTTCTCGGGACCCTCGGATGTCGGCGGCTGCCCCTGTTGCTGCTTCTTCTTCTTGTCTTCCTTGGGGGCCTTGACTTTCTCCTTCGTCTTCCCTTGGCCCTTGGAGCCTTTCATGGGAGAGTCATCGAGTCTGATTTCTGAGCCCCCCAAGGGAACCAGTGGCAGATGGCGTATGGGGAGGGCAGGTGCGGCGAAGGCGGGAGACGAGAA